TGAAATCATGCTGCTATGATTCATTACTTTTCCACTGAAATCTTTCTCAAAAGTATAAAAATATTAAGTGGGGGGGACCCCAGAGGTAAAACATAGTTGAAATACATACTTGAGTATAGTAGAATACATACTTGAAATACATATAAAACATACTTGAAATCAACAGCCACCAGTTTAAATGTACATATAAGAGTGCATTGCCCAGACTTTCAGAGGGGGAAGGAATTTCTGGTGAGTGGATGTGGGAAGCTGCAATTGTAGCTCTGCTGGAGGCATTAATCTCTGTGTCTGGCTAGTCAGGATCTGAGACAGTGCCCTAACTGTGACTTACATCCAGTGGTTTTGGTACCTTTGGATAGAGGCAGAAAAAACTAATTCTAAGTCAGACTTCCCAGAGTTAAAAAAAAAAAAATATTTATTGAGTGTGTTCCTAGTTTAATTTTCTTGAAATTACATCTTGGCTATAGGCAAAATACCTGTTCACTTCCAGTTTTTAATTTTAACTGTATCTTTCCCAATTTGGATCCAATGTTAAGGTTGAAATCCCATGTTACCTTCATTTAATATTTCCCACAGATTTGCTAATTTTCTTGTTCTCTGCTGACAATCTCATTAATGCTATTAAAAATATGTTATCTCTGCTTCCAGATTCTATTTTATTTACATAAAATGTAAAATATCTTAAATGAAAGATCCAAATTGGATAAGACAAAAGAAGGGTAATAGCACCCAGTAATTAATCTAGCACTGAAAAGACAAACAAGTGTGACAGGAGCAGAGTTTGAAGGCAGCAGGGTTCAGTGCTGGGGATTCAAACACCAGAGCTGAGCAACTGACTGTACATTTCCATTATTCTGATCAGCCGCTGCAGGGTTAAACACACTTTCAGAGCTCCCATCTGTATCCTCAAACAGGAATTACAGCACTGTGCACAAAGTGGAGGGGACAATGCAATGGCCTGTCAGCAGTATTAATTCCCACCATTACAGTTTTGCTTGGGTTCTTAATGGTATTTAAACAAATACAGTTCTCTCCCCACCTTTCATGTGATTTTTCCTTCTGCAATAGGCCCTTTTGTTTAAAAAACTTCCTGATGGTTATAGAACACACTTATTTATTATTCAGATGGTTCATTTATTAAGAATAAATAATTTAGGTACATTTTCTTCTGTTTAATTAACATATTAGCAGTTGCAGCATACATGGTAACTAATGTTTATATTTATACTCATTTCTCAGGCTGTTTTGTTCTGCTTGATGGCCACAGTGCTCATTTATGGAAAGTTCCTGAGCTGCAGAAGTCTGCAGAAATGTTTGCAAATCTCTGCACAGGCAATGGCCCCTGTGGCAGCCGCAGGAAAATGCTGCTTCATTCTCTTCATGTCCTCTGATGTCCAAGGCAAGTTTAAAGCCATGCAGCAAGAACAAATAATCAGGATGGCCCCAGGCCTGCTTCATGCTTGTTGGGAGGAAACATAAATTACATCATTGCTATTGCTGCTGCATTTGGCACACAGCAAACCCATTACTTTATATTCACCAGCAACCCCAACATTTACTTCCATTCTATTGGAAACTTATTTTTCCATCCTGTGACTGCAATAGCAAACTTCCATGTGTCAGAGAAAATGCATGCTCTATAATGCTGTACTTTAAATCCATTTTCTTCTTAAAAATTACATTTATGCTCCTTTCCCCTTTTTTTTTTTCTCTCCAACATGAACATATGCTGCCATTTTCTTGGGTAATACATAAACATCTTCGAAATGTGATCAAATCTAGATTCCTGTACCTTAGCTGGTTGGTTATTTCTAACTATAAAATAAAGTTTTTAGAATCATGGCTATAGGAACCCAATCAGATTATGTGCTTCCCAGTTTTGGTGTTACAAAAACATGCCTTAAAACAAAATTGTGAAGAACTTTAAACCTTAGACCCTGATCCTACAACCAGTGCAATGGGGTTTGCTGTAGGATCCAAATTATGTGTATTTACATACTGAATTCTTTTCTATGGATGATTAAGTGACTTTTATAATGTTAAAATAGATTATTCTTTTATGATTTCCTTTATTTTTGTTGTTTCTGTTCTTTTTTAACTAATGGAGTCTAATGCACTTAACAGTAGAATAACCCCACTTTATACCTGAATATTACTGCTAAATTCTCTCTTTGTTTCTCTCTAAAATCTAATATTCACCTTGATATTAAAAGACTTTTATTCAGAAAACATGAACATCCCAATAGTTAAATCTCCCAGCTAAATGTCCCAATATGTGATGAAGTAGGATCAACCACGACCTTGGAGCAACCCAGATTTCTTCAGCAAATTCTGCCTGTCAGGGTTAAATCCTGGCCTCCAGCAGTATCTTGAATCCATGCTAGGGAAATTATGATAACAATAATCTTTACATCTCCAGACTCAAATGGATCTTTCTGATTGACTGCCTCTGGTGCCAGGCCTGTGTCAATAATTCGCAGGGAACGCAGGGCTGTGACCTTTTCCCCCTTGGTTTAGAATTTCTATTTTACAGGACCAATAAACCATGTCAGGAGAAGGTGGCGGCTCTAGACATGTGAATGGATGGATCTCAGGTCACAGGTAATCCTTCAGCACGCCCCTGTTTGGGACTAAAGAATACATCTCCCTGCTGCAATGCTTCTGTCAAAAATGCATGCAAGGAAAAATTGCATCCTTCAATTTCCTTTCTTTCAGTTTAGCAATGATTAGAAAGAAAGAATAAAATGACTGAAGGATTTTCCCCTTGCTTTCTCCAGCCCCGGTGAAGGCTGTAGGAGTTAATGGACACTCTGGGTTTCAAGACAGCATTAAACAGAAGAGGTAGTGGCAATTATCTATTATAAATTCCTGCACGGTGCCATATCATCATTACTGTTTGTAAACCTTTCTATCCATCCACATCCATCTCCTGTATGAGACACCAGCAGAAGACTGCAGAACACCCAGGCTGTCACATCAATAAACAAACACAGGCAGGTAAAAAGGAGGAGAGTTTTTCATTAAGATACCAGAGTTGAAATTAGATTCTGACACCACTGCAATGTTATCTATTGGTGAGGCCTCTTCTTTTGTGCTTCAGCTCCCTGCCCATGGAATGGAGCAGCATTTATCCCCTTTGATTTCTGTTATCTGGCTTATTTATTTAGACTGGAAGTTGGCTGAGGAGATGCTTCTTCCTGTACAACATCTGCCTTGCAAACCTGCGCTCTACATCCCACTACCAAATCAGTTTTATTTGGGATTGTTAATAACAGGCTTATACTAAAAATGTAATATTTTCCAATTTTAGCTCCCTCAAAGTCTTGCTGGTTGCGTGTAAGAAAATACCCTCTTCTGAATGATGATGCTGTGTTTATATTTATATATATTGCCGAGTGTTAGGTCGTATTTCTCGCCTTTCACAAAGTGGGATGTTGTGTAAAAAAATGCTTATGCTGTTTGCCACTATATTTATTTATTTATTTATTTATTTATAAATTAACAGTCCTATAGTTTTTAAGTTTTTTAAAAGAAGTGAATGGTGGCAAAAATTTTATTTTTCTGGCATTCAAAGTTACTTTACTTCTGATTTTCCCTGTTTGTTCTATACACTATTCTACTCAAGCTCACAGTAGAGATTACAGGAAAGCAGATTCCATAACTAATTAGACAAGCAGCCAAAAAAGAACTTCAGAAGTTTGTCCCAACAGTTTTAATTTGGACTTTATTTTTTGTCTGAATGCAGTATAACAGTAAACGTGTATTTCCATCTGTCTTCCTTAGCAGATGAAGCATTACATCCTCGGTTTGGAAAAGGGCTTGGGTTCTTCTCTCTATATCCCATCCCAATTTTTCTATGTGTGTGGACAGGAGGAGGAGAGAATCCTGCAAAATATAATGGGAGGAATAGTGATAGAGACCTAAACCCAAATGATTTTATACAATGACTGTGTTGTCTGTGGTGCCAAATTTACAGTGCACTCTGTGGGACAGCCCTGGCGTTGCCCCTAGGTACCAAGTGCTCAGGGAACATTTCAGGAGAGCATCCTGGCACTGCTCTGTCAGAATGACCACGCTCCCACAGCCCAGCGACCAACAAGAATCCCTTGGAGTGGTGATTCTGTTGGAAGTACTGGCTTTTCCAGAGTCAGGTGGCTTTGATAAGCAATTTATGGGACAGAGCACAGATGAGGGAGCATTCGAAGCAGGGAGGGAGCTTGCAATAATTCCTTGTGGCTCTCACAGTTTATGTGGAGCTTGCAGTGTAATGTGTAATCTTAATTTGTAATCTTAGTGCATCGCGTCAAGCCTTGCCAGGGCAGTCTCTATGTCTAAGGTTTGTCCGTTCCTCGTTCATTTCTGTGTCTAAGGTTTGTGCATTCCTCGTTAATTTCCTCCCTTTACCAAAACCTTTGCGATTTGTCCTTTTCCTCCAACAACACCATTTCACGTCCAACCCGCCTTGGGTTTTCCAAGGTCTTCTGTTTCCCTCCAACTTTACTGAATTGTTATTTCATCTTTTCTCTTCCGTTCCTTTCTTCCAGCCGCCACCTTTGTGTCTCCCTTTCCCGGTGCCCTCTGCATCCTCCACCAAAACCTCGTTTTCCTGCTGTCCGTCCCTTCTCCACCGCTCTGCCGTGTCCTTGCTCCCGGCTTGCCCCGGGCTGCGGGGACACCTGCGGGGACACCTGCGGGGGATGTGGGGACACCCGTGGGGGCTGCAGGGAAACATGCGGGGACACCTGCGGGGGGTGCGGGGACACCTGAGGGTGACTGCGGGGACACCTGTGCGGACAGGTGCGGTGCCGGCCCCGGCCGCTGCCCCGGCTCATGAATATTCGGGCCTGCCCTCGCCGTGACGTCGCCGCGGTCCCGGGCGGGGGCCGGAGCCGCCCCGGCGCTGGCAGCGAGGGCGAGTGACGGCGCGGCGGCAGCAGCCTCCGCCCGCCGGCTCGCCCGCAGCGCAGCGTACACAGCCGGGCCGGGCCGGGCCGGGCCGGCGGCCGCCACCAGCGCCGGGGATGCGGAGGCGCCGCTGCTGCTGCTGCTGGGGCCCGGCGGCGCTGCTGCTGCTCCCGCTGGGGCTGGGCAGCCTGCTCGCCGCCAAAGGCAGGTACCGGGGCGCGGGCCGGGCGCGGCTCCTCGGGCGGAGCGGGGCTGAGCGGGGCAGAGCTGCCGCTGCCCTCAGGGAGGGCACAAAGTTGGGGCGGGGGTCTCGGCTCGGTGCCCGCAGCTCAGCGGGCGCGGCTGTCCCGGGGCCGGGCGGGAGGCGCCGCTGCCGCCGCCGCGATGCTGTGGGTACGGGCCGGGGCTGGGCTGAGGGGAAGCGCTGGAGCTGCCCAGGCCGGGAGCGGGGGAAGAAGAAGCGCTGTGCTCCCCCAGGCCGGGATGGGACTGCCCGCCGTGCCGCAGGTGCGGCGGGGCTCTCGCTGTTCCGCGGGGCTCTCAGTGATCCGCAGCGCTCCCATCTCTCAGCCAGCCGTGCCCCTGCCGACAGCTCCGGTCGCTCAGGTGTTCGGAGATTTCTTGCCTCTGTTCGTTTTCTTTTCCCTCGCAGTGTTTCCATGCGGTTTAGGACTGGCTTTGGAGCCCCCAAGTTTTAGAAACTTAGTTTTGAGAACTCTGTCTCAGTGTTTTCTAATATTCTTTTCAAACCTTACGCTTGCTCTTATTTTTGTATGGGGCTTTGGTGGTTATTTTATTTGTAAGCATGTGTGTGAGAGAGAAAACTTCAGCGTTTGTTTGGCGTTTGTTTTCTTCCCAAAACCCCAACCAACTGCTTGAGCCGTAACTTTGTGAGAAAATTGATTTTTTCTAGCAAATGTTACTTGACTTTGTTTACATGTACGAATAGCAGAAAGTGACTGTCGGAAATTAATTGCTCCTTCTGTTACTGACCCAACGTGCCTTGGTGTCGTGGTGGGAATGCCGTGTTTTCTGGGCAGATTAACATACAACGCGTAACATTTTGATGGAGGGGAGTTACTTTCCTCCTCTTTACTTTCTAATGTAATTCAAGGTAATTGTCTCCTTTAAAAGGACCTTTTCCTTAGACAAGCGTGGGAGGTTTTTTTTCGTGGGAGATGTCTTTTAACCTGCCGGCAGCTCATCAGACAAAACGGGGTCGTTCTCGCTGGGCTCTGCTGTGCCTTTGACCACTGGAGGGCTGCAGAGAACATTTTTGGATAGCAGAAGCCACAAGCTTCCAGTAGTTGGTGGTTAAAAATAGGCATTTTAATGTTATTTATATTGATATTCGAGTGCTTAAGTTTTTACTCATTACTTTATATACTTTGTTTCTAAATATTGGGTATTTTCAAAGGCTATAAGGCAGTGTTAATAAATGAGGTAGGATGTCTTGGCGCTGTATGCAGTTAATATCTGATATGCTTTTTCTTCCTCCACCTGGTCGGTAGAGGGAAGAAAAAAGGGGTTTATTTCAGCAGGAACCTCATGGTGCTTTCTCCTTGCTCTCTGTTTTTCTATGGTAGGGAAGTTCTAAGTTAAAAAGCATTTTGTGAGTATCTCGTGCACACAATTGCAAAGCTTGGTGCTGTAACCACAACCTGGACTTGTGGTCTGAAGGTGCATTCTGGTAGGAGATGGAGGTAGGATGCAGGAGGTGTGTACAAAGCTCCCCACGTGCCCTGAGCATCCTGTTATTTATAAGATCAAATACAACCAAAGATAATGATTTCAGTTCTCATCTCACCTCATCTATTTCACTGTGCTCTGCTGCTTCTCATTTTAAAAACAAAACCAAGCCCCCTCCACCCCCTCTCCTTTTCCCCAAATGTTTGTGAGGAAGGGGAGAAAGATTACGGGAAAAGTTCTGGTTCTCACTTTTCTCTCAGTAGAAAACAACAGTTTCTTTCACTAAATTGTTCACTCTGAATAGAAGGGGGAACCTACCCTGCCCCCAAAAAAACAAACTCCCCAAAGTTTTCCAAGGAAAAAGAAATAAGAGGCAACATCAGAGTGTTTAGGAGGTTGTTAGTTATAGAACTTAATGTGTGTAATAAATATGCACGCACAATTTGTTAGCTTTGCAGCAGGTTCTTCTTACTGAGATGTCTATCACAGGGGTACAATAAAAATCACCATTTTGGACAGAAAAATGTTTGCTTTTAAGTATTTAAAAATAGCTTTGCTCTGTAAGAATAACTAAGAGAAACACACTTTCTGGTTTATTGGAATTGCATTAATGATGTCTGGAAATTTTGTGAACTGTCTCTTGTTGTCTTCAGTTATGGAAAATAGAATATGCTGAAGGATAAGGTTTGGGTTTTTTCCCCATCATATTCAAAATTCATAGGTCCATGTGGTCACAGACAGGGAGTATTACAACCTGCAGCACTTCTTGTTTCCCCAAATCTCTGCGTAATGCTTATCTCTTAAGTAATTTATTACCTTATTCTAGTATGTACCACTAAACTACTCAATGAAGTCGTAAAAGGGCTGTCATATCCAAATTTCTTGTAAGACCCAATTAATTAGCCTCTTAACTGTTACTGTATTTGAACTTCATCATAACCATAAACAACATTTTAGTCTTCATTTTTAAGTATGGCCGAAAGCCTCTCAATGAATAACTAAGCCTCTCAATTAATAACTAAGCTCTCAATGATCTGAATAACTAGGAATATTTGATCCCAGTTAAATTAATTACATGGGCAAAACCTGAAGTCTTAGCCACTGCAGACATTTCCAAATCAGTGGAACATTCAGTCCCTGTTGGCAGGTCTGTGATGGGAGTGCATCAGATCTGACTCTCAGGAACAGCTGACCCAGGGAGACAGAGCCAGCAACTTATATGTGAGGGAAACCTTACAGCCAGGGGGAAGGACAGTGAGGAGGTAGCTTTGAGAACACACTGGACAGATCCTGGAGTCTGAAATTTTCTGCATCATTCAGTATTTCCTTTTATTCCTTTCTATCGTAAATAATAATGAAATAGTTCTCATTATCAGTTCATAGGAGACATTAAAAAAAACAAAAGAGCCTTCTTTCCAACCTCATACAAAATACATCAGAAGCAATGTTTGGCAAGTGTTGAAGTCAGAAGATGGGAGGTGAAGCAACTGTGCTTTCTTTTGCTGGTGCTTCCTGTAGCTCACCAATAAACCCCAATAAAGACATGTAAATGATTTCATCTTTCTGTTTCTTTTCATCAATAAATGGATTAGGAATCCTTTTTTTTTCTAGAGTGTTTTGATTGAAAAGCAGTTCATGAAGACTGACTCTTGTGTCTCACAGGATAAAAGATTTGTCTGATTATGAAGCCTGGGTGTCAAGATAATGAAATGATTTAGAGATCTCAAAAGACAGAAGTCAGTATTTGATAGCAGCTTTAGTATTCAGGTATTTCAGCATAGAAGACTGACAACTATATTTAAATTGTCATTATGAAGTTAGAGAATGTTTTCCAGTCAGAATCATATTGTTACCAATTTTAATTGCATTACTTGGAAGACTACCAAGACTGGGAACTTAGGAGATTCCAAAGCATATTTTAATTGTAAACAGTGTGTGTGCTGCTTAAAGAACACCCTCCAAGGTGTGTTTTTGTCACCTCCCATTAAGTGGCTTGTGAGCTGTCAGAGCTGGATCCTATTTTTCCCCTTTGAAGTGACTGGTTTTGAACTGGGAGGGTGTGGACACGCCTTCTCCTGCCCAAACTGCACACTGGAAAGGTGTAACGGGACGGGGGGTGAGACAGAGATGACCACACACCCAGTGTCCATGTAGCAACACAGAGCATTTATTGTCCTTGAGCTAGCTGTTTTTGTATGCCTAATGATTCTAGGGCATCTAGCTTCTCTCTTTAAAGGAGCCACTATGGTATCCACATAGGGTGACTACTAAGCCATTTCAGAGCTGGTGTGGGACACTTTACACCCTTCAACACAGTGGCCCCTGTTAAAAATCCATCCCCACCTGGACATCCCATGCAGGCCAAACATCCCTCCCGCACAGGTTAGGAGGTGCACCAGTGCTGTAAGGCCAGATCGTAGCTGTTTGGCCCTCAGGATTTTTGATCAACACAGGATTGGTGCTCAGGCTGTGTGGGCACTCAGAGGCCAGCAGTGGCAGATCCCACAGGCGTAGTAGGCCATGATGGAGGCCATGTGTTGGCAGATCCCACAGGTGCAGTAGGCCGTGATGGAGGCCATGTGTTGGCAGATCCCACAGGCGTAGTAGGCCATGATGGAGGCCATGTGTTGGCAGATCCCACAGGTGTAGTAGGCCATGATGGAGGCCATGTGTTGGCAGATCGCACAGGCATAGTAGGCCATGATGGAGGCCATGTGTTGGCAGATCCCACAGGTGCAGTAGGCCGTGATGGAGGCCACGATGGTGATGTCTGCCCCTCTGTCTATCATCCCACTGACCTATATCTGTGAAGGCTTTGCCTCAGGCACTGCAGCAGTACAAACCACATCAGATCTTTGATCTCCTACAACCTGAGTCCAGTTCACCTGGGGCTGTCCTGTTGATTTGAAGCCTTGGTCTCCTTGCTCCCTAGAATCTGCTTTGGAGGCACAAGACTTAAAAGGGATGAATTGAGGAATTCTGGTTTTTTCAGGGATAGTCACAGGTGGAGTAGGAGTGAAAATCAATGCGTGTATTTGTCTGGTAAAATCCGCATCTAACAAGACCAGGGTACCCAATGGTATTTTGCATTGTGGCACGGGACCTTCCAATTAACAGTGTACTCAATCCTTTCCCAATAGGCCCCCAAGCCTTGAGAGGGACCTTATGTACCTTTGAGGTGCTTATGGTTACTGCAGTGGAGGAGGGCACGTCCATTCCAGCTGCTCCTCAAGTTTTCCCTGCGAACTGATCACATAAGCTTGTACTGGAGGGTGGGAAATTACTTGTGTCCTCACACATTCCCCTTTCATGCTCAGTTTCTTGTTTCCCTAGTTCTTGAGAAATTGATCATTAGCATGAGATTTGGACCTGCATGCCTTGGTTGTATGTGCGGTCCTTCCACATCAGCTGCAGCTTGCATTTGTTCCCTTCTGTCCTTGAAACATCCCCTGTGGAAAGGACTTTTGAGGACAGTTTGCTCCCAGGTGCAAATTTACTCTATCAAGAAGGTTAAT